TTAGAAATTGAACAGACTGATTGGCTGTTTCAATAAACGGCTCGCCAACCCATAGGTAGATTGGCAAATTGAATCGGGGACTCATTAGCTATTTCGGCAAACGGCTCGGCAACCCATCGGTAAGCTGGCAAATTGAACCAGCAACCCATTGGCTAATTGACAAACGACTCAGCAACCCATTCGTAAGTTGGCAAATTGAACCAGCAACCCATTGGGCATTTTGATAAACGGCTCGGCAACCCATTGGTAGGTTGGCAAATTCAACCAGCGAGCGAACGATCGACCCGATCATGCCACACCGTGCCATGCAGTAATAATTTCCAGCCGATACTGGACAGGACAGACGGCCCGGGGCCCGGGCCGGCAGCTCTCTGCCCCCCAACGCCCCACCACAAGAGCGGAATTCCCGAAAGGGGCCCACGCGGAGGCGACCCAAGCAAGCCCTAGCGAGGACCGGCGAGGTGCGAAGTGACCAGGGGGCAGCTCTGGGCTTCGCGAGCGAACGTCATGATAAGAATGTGGGCCGGGCGGCAGAGATGCCTAGGAGGCCCCATCCCGTCGTGCCCCATAGCTAACGCAGGTACCGGGTAAGCCCCTCTGCTGCCCGGCCAGGGCTGCGAGCCGGAGGCCGGAGCAGCTGTGCGCGACACGCGAGCCGGCCAGCAGACTGATTCGAAGAGTGCTCGAAGGGGGCTGCCCCACGAGTGCGACAAGGACGGAGCTACTGCGTAGGGTCACACAACGCGCAGCTGCGCGGCGCAGCACCGGCAGCCCTAAGCCCAAAACTGATCGGCGCCAAGTTCAGGGTAGTGACGCGAACTGCGCGTGCGACAAGACAGCATAGAATGTGACAGGACAGACAAAACATCGCATCACATCAGATGATTTATGGGCATTCAAAGAACTGTGATAGAACACAGTGATGATTTTGAAGTCTTTTGCGAACCCCTGTACTTTTAGCGGAATACACCCGTTGCAAAGCGGCACAGAAGGCAAATAACAAATAAATTGCCAAAATCCCCCGAAAGATAAGAAGTGGGCGTTGGAAAGCTAGGGACTGGTCGCGTCCACAAGCAATGCAAGAGCCATCCGTTGGGCCCCTTTTACCTATGCATTGGCCGTTCGATAGCTACGCATTGGTTCGTTTAAAATCTACACAACGCACTGGAGAGCATAAGACTGAACGTATTTGTGACTCAATATTAGTCTTGATGCGACACATGGGCAGAACATTAAACTTTTGTTGTGGACTCCTTAAAGTCAACCATAACCTGTCCATCGAAATCTACCAGAAATGTCAGCAAACGCAAAACTTGTACGCACGTCTCAACCAAAAGAGTTTCGTACATTTGTCGGATACGCAGCACGACGCAAACAGTAGTACTTGCTGTTGACATAACCTCACTGATTTTGTTTCGACCTACAGAGACGTTGCCCGGGGCTGCGAACGACGGTGCGTTTAAGACACTTAGAGATCATTTTAAAGAAACCAAAAACGTTCAGATGCATTTCCAAAACAGGGTATTAACACTTGGACCCGCAGCTGCCTGAGAGCACAGGCACACTTACTACATGTTGTTGGTAAAAGTAATCCGCACAGATCTCTAACTCCAACTGGGACGGTGCCGCCTCTTTTGGGAGAGAGCACACGAGAAACGCGGGGCTTCAACTTCAAGTGGGTTTATCACTTATCAACACTTCTGATTAAACTACAAAATCTTTGACGACACCGTCGGACGAACGTGTGACGGGCTCGGCTTCGCGACTCAGACTGACGTGCCGGTGCCGGCGGCCGGGCGGCCGCCGCAGGCGCCTGCGCCTCGCGTCGCGTCGGGATTCGGCTCGGTTCGGGTCAGCTGCTCGGTCGGCTCGGCTCGGCCGCCAACCAACAGTCCGACGAAAGGGAAAAGGGACAGCCCCGACTTCCGATGGGCAGCTCAAATTTGAACTCGTGCACACTGTTAAAGTCTTACGAAGAAAAATGCCAAATCCTTTGTAATACGAAGGATTTGGACGCTTGGTAGGGAGCAAATCCTTCGTAGGTACGAAGCATTTGGCATTTTGCTTCGTAAGACTTTAACTGTGCAGTGAGTGATCAAAAGAACGGATACTGTACTAAATACACAATCATAAGCCTAGGGTTTCCACCCGTTCGGAAGGTTATACATCCACCCGCTGGAGGCTGTACGCGATCAACAGCAACGCGTTGAGTCTGCTTGAAAAGAACGCACAGCACGCCGTACAAAGCTTATGTATTTGATACCTCAAAGAGACAAAAACGTTGGGCCCCTCCAAAGGCAACCAAAGCAAAGCGGCGGACACATCGCCTATGCGTAGCTATCGTTATAAACGGGACCTGGAACCGGACCGCAAACGTGCGGCACCGGATTTCCGTGTCCGGATAAAGCAAGTCGGTAAAGCCGAAAAGAAGGAGAATGCGGGGAACAACAAAACGAAAGTCAGTAACTTCATTAACATGCTGACTTCCGGTCTCTTCTCCCCCGCATTCGTCTGCATTTCCGCTTTACCAAAATGGTTTACTTTTCACCGCTAGACCGAAAGCGGCCCGCTTTTCTCTAACGCTAGAATCGCCTTTTGTGTTTGGCTCAATTTGCCCAATTCAAGAGCAAACGCATTGGGCCATGTCAAAAGTGACGCCTTGCTCTCTCCAAAAGCAACGCATTGGATCCGTTCCGATCCGTTCAATCAAAACCAATGCATTGGGCGCGTGGAAAAGCAACGCATTGGGTCCGTTCGAACCAATGCATTTGGCCCGTTCGAACCAACGCATTGGGCCCGTTCGAACCAACGCATTGGGCCCGTTTGAACCAACGCATTGGGGCCGTTCGAACCAATGTATTGGGCCCGTTCCGATCCGTTCAAACAAAACCAATGCATTGGGCGCGTGGGGCCGCTTTGAATTGGGACCACTTTGAACTAATGCATTGGGCCCGTTCGAACCAACGCATTGGGCCCGTTTGAACCAACGCATTGGGCCCGTTCGAACCAATGCATTACGAGCGTTAAAAAGCAACACATTGGGCCCGTCTGAACCAACGCACTGGGCCCGTCCGAACCAATGCATTAGGCCCGTTCGAACCAATGCATAAGGCCCGTTCGGAAGGAATGCATTGACTCCGGTCGCGTTAGCTCCAGTAATGCGACTGATTAAGTCTTAGTCTGGAGTGCCGCAGAAATCAAGAGGTGATAAACCTAGCTCGCTCTTGTAAACGTATGGCATTGGGCCGCATACACTACCAGAACGCCCCGGCTGGGGAGGGGGGGCGGGTCGGGGGGTCTATTATCAGTGCTGTCTGTATACTGGGTGAACATGAGCAGCACTTTCGTGTCGAGGGATTGCATAGCCTCTCGAGCCGCATGGGCCATGTCGCCCTGCTATCGGCAAAAGGGGTGAGCAAACCCACCACTCTGCGGCGTCCTCGACACGTCCTGCGGAGTTGTTTCCAGCGCCGACGGCGCGCGCCCAACGCCCCGCGTGATCCCGCCCGCGGCCGAATCGCACGCGATCGATGAGACCACTCGATATGAGGACTCACACCCGCACAGTCTCGCTCGCTCGCACGCATTCCCGCGGCACAATCGAAACGAGAAGTCGAGCAAATCCTAATATATGCTTCGGCGTGGACTAGAAGGATAATTGTGATGTCTGCAGAACAATCATAGTTGATGGTAGGTCGTTTTCATTTTCCTGGGCTTGCAAAAGGAAACAGCAGGTCGCTCTCGCAACCGCATGGACGCAGTGGGTGGGAAACCCGCCGCGCCTTGTTCAGGCCAGGAGGGGCGACACGAGGAAGAGGCGGG